TTTTTGCTTATTTTGTGTTTCGTTCCTGTATTTTTATACAATTTTAATTTTTTCTTTTAATTTGGAAAAGATTTTGTAATACACAAATCAAGGAAACTTAATCTAATGTAATTAAATATTATCATTAAAAATAAATGTAACAGTTTCTAAAAACTTTAGACTGGCTGTAAGCATTAAAATTGGTATAGAATCTAATCCAATTTCTTTAAACAATCTTAATTCAAAACTAAAAGTTTTTATTCTTTTAAGTTTCTTTGATTTTATATATTTTAAAATAGTTTATATGCATTAAAAAATTTGAACATTTCAACCTATTTAATATATTATATAAAAAATAAATAAATAAAAGTAAAATAAAACTTGCACTTAGCTTTGATTGACTTGCTTAATTTTTTGTTGTTGTTTTGAAGATCATGTTGTTGTTGCATTCAATCATTTTTTTATACTGAGTTTAATAATTATTCCAAAAAACTAATGTGTCTTATCTCTTGCTTGGTGAGTAGATAACAATATCTTTTAAACAGGAATACATATAAACATTCTTTAAGACTGGAATGTTTAAATATTACGGCGGATGAGACTAATGGAGAAATCTGTTGACGAAAGAAATTTATTAATATTTCTAATTTAAATTATTACAAAAAATTTTAAGAATATTTAATTTATACTTACAAATTCGTAGCACTAAATTCAGTATTTGTTTTTTGATCATAGTATGGTTTCATAATGTATATCAAAGTTACACATTGCTTTAAAGCATCAGCATATGACAACAATATAGAGCAGCTTGTCTGCAGAGATATATACATCATTTTTAATAATTATAAAATACAAGTTAGTAGCATATGTTACACATCAACTTGCTACTGATAATTAGCATGGAGTTATTCACAACCGTCATCTTCATCTTCAATATTTAAATTATAACTACAATCTGGTTATATTTGCAGTAATTTAAGTGTAATCATTTTAATCGTCAATTTTCACCAGAAATCATCTTCAATTAACAAATCTTCGATTTTACATCATTCAGCGGTTCGACATGTGAAATGTCCTGACATCGAAAATTGGCATAGTCTTTCCAAAAATACTTTATTTGTGTTTTTGTGGAATTCCTGGGTTATTGTAACTGCAGAGAAGTAATTTTTAATTCATTTTCTTTATAGTCAACTGAAAAATATTAGAAAATTAATGAAATTATTATGAGATTTGAATTTTCGTAAACTTAAACTAAACTAAAAATCGCCGTTACTTCAGTACGTTACTTAATGATAAAACCGTAAACCCACCTCACATCATATTTGCATCCAATAGAAAATCTGAATTATTTATCCAGCGGAGGTCCATGATAACAAATGGCGATGTTATGAAATATTTTTACATCCATTGATGTCTTTAAATAATAATCATTTGATTAATCAAATACTCTTAATAAAGAAGGATTCCTATTTTAACTTTAATATGTTATGTTTGTATTTTTGTTTCTAGAAAAAGCTATAGTTAGTAACCGATTTTTGGTCGCTTCTTAGAAGGAGAAAAGCGACACTTAACGGCACAGAGAGGTGCATTATCTTAAAACCAGTTGCATACTTGCTGTAAAGAAAACACACGTACACGTTAGCTAGTGTGCACTCCATAATATGATTTAATGCATCTCACAGCCGTTTATCCTCCACGCAGTAAACACAATCTTTATGTTTAATTTGTAGTTTATATAAAAAGATTAAATCTGTTCGTTATTTTTGCAATAAAATTACATACACATTTGTTTGTTGCTTATCATTTTCGTTACATATCTATCTAAAGTTTATAATGTTATTTTGGATGTCAACATTATAATAAATGTACTTAGTTAATAAAATTGAAAAAATTATCTTGCTTTTTATTGAACAGAAAATTTATAAAATGTAAAATTTATGAAATATATTACAAATATAAATGCCTATTCTTATACCCTCAAATGAACACATTTTTCTCAAAATCTTTATTCTGACTTAAAAATTAATAATTATAAAAAATATACAAAAATAATTTGTAAAATCTGTTAAGAAACAAATTGGAAGTGCTTCACATTTCAAGGACATCTGAGTTAGTCAAAGACATACCTTGTGCATACAAAAATCTAATTTCTATTTATAAGAATAACATATGCAATTCACATTTACTCACATTTTGATTCTTCAGTGCTGAAACGGTGACGAATGCAACAATTGTAAGGAAACAATAATAAAATTTAAAATCGCATTCCATCATTGAAATATCAATGCCTTTGACTTGAGACAAACTATTTTGATTATTGTCCCCATTTTTATTGCGTGCTTTATGTTTATGCATTTGAGGTCCAACGGAGTCATTATTTATTGGCAATAATAAATATATTTTTAATGTGAAACACTAATGCCAAATATTTTAAAAATCTATAAAGTAAAAATACTTTTTAATACATAAACGAACACAAAAATGATAACTGATTTAGTTTACCAAACAAAAACACGTTCTCAATTCTGTTTTCCAATTTCCAAACTTAAAGTAGCGCAGTTTCGTGAGACACTATTAGGCTTTGTGTCCTAATCGACAGGAGTCCCGTTAGTCCCGTTAGACCAACTGTCAAATCATTTTTTATATTTGTTTCTAACATTGCGTGAAGACAATTTTCGTTTAATTTATTTTAATGAAAATTAAAGAACATAACACCAAAACTTTTAGTTTTACAACACCAATAATTTATTATAATTATTATTATTAAAATTTATAAATAAACAAAAATGTTAACAAAATGACTTATGAACCAGCATACGCACTGCAATTTACTGATACTCTGTTATTGCAAAGGCGCAACAAG